GTTCCTCTCTCCCAAAAAATCAGAAAACATTAGTTCTGAACGATTTATTTAGTTAGAATTCGCTTTGTCGAAATTCATGAAGACACCACATCGATCCTTGGGCTACACGTGTGGTAGTGCCCCACTTGGCTGGTAACGAATCCCGAATAAGGTCCAACTGAGCCCCTATCGGGGTCTAATGCCAGTCCTGTTCTCATGACTGAGAAGGCAGTTCTGGACCATCATTTGGAATCTCTCATCCGCGTTGTATTGCATTGTTTGGTTTCAGAAGTGTTTTGAACTCGGTTGTAATTATTGGAAGGAACTACTCGAAATGGAATTCGACGATTTCAATCCACTCATTGTTAATTGCTATTATGCTATCTTCGTTATCGTTGGAGTGTCTACCAATGGCTTACTGATATACCTTATCGGATACAGGTAACCCCTCCGAACTTACGATTTACAGTGTGTACTTTCTTCTGCTGGCACTGCAGAAGGTGTACTTTGTCTTTATTCTGCCTGTAACTAGCTTGATCATTTTTAGAAGTTCCCGTATTGTTTGGAGTCTGAAAGCTATGATGATCAACATTTCTGCAACGCAAATTCTCATAACACTGACGGCAGGACTTCTGCAAGGAAGGTAAGTGAGCTCTGAATTTAATGTAATTCAAAGAAGTTCTCCAATTTCAGAATGATGTCGAACAGTTCGACTACAGCAATCCTTTCAGAAGGTCCATTTCGTATGTTGGGTCCCATGGCAGCCCTTGTCGGCTACACCATCATTAATGCTTTTACATTTTATGTAGAGCTTCTCATAGTCCACACGATGTTTTGGCGTTATCGGAAGTTACAGGCCAGGCAGATAAAGACAGTAGAACTTCTGGTGATTTTCTTCTTGATTGCAATTTGGCCGGTATTGCTGTTGGTGAGTTCAGTTCATCCGACTCATTTCACAATTTAGTAGGCCTGTGTAACCGTGTAGGTGTGTAGGTGTGTAGGTGCACTCGGGATGAATGAAAAAGTCTTGGGCGTAGACCAATTCTGTTTTGGGACTCGCACTCGCATCCAAGCTCCACTCCGAATCCTAGTATCATATTGAAAACACTTGGTCTATGCAATGACTTGCGGTGGCCGGCCGATGTACAATCAGTGCTCTCATCCTGCTGTATGAGGGTAGTACCAATTAAATAATTTTGCTACATATTAGATGGATGGAAAGCTTGGTCTGGGCAGAACTCGATCCGGGATTCGATTCCCTTCCTATGCAGAAAATACGAGAGAATAAAAAGCCTAAATCATGTGCGTGCCTCAGGTTCTGCCGCACATTGGATCTCTACGGTTCGACCTTGTCACGAAGGAAACAATCAATGAACATCGTAACTACAACTTAAAAAAGTAAGTTTGTTCTCGGATCCTCTTTCAGTTGAATTGTCCTTGAATTATCATTGCTCAGATATGGTGACATCGGAGGATTCGAAACGGGAAAACTGGTCCAAACAATTTGCTCGTTCATAGCTTGTGCAATAGCGATAGCTTCACCGATTCTTATCCTGCTTCTGAGACGATTGATCATGAAACTTTTGGACGACACGCTTCACCAGTATAGCGAGAAGACAGTACAAAGCTCCAGGATGTACTTGAAGGTAAGCCTCTTCATCAAGGGGATCGCCTACATCGCATGTGAACCTGAACGGTCTAGAATGTACATTACCTTGGTTACCTATGAACTGTGTGATGGCTTAAAGGCAGAGTTCACGATATTTCAGAGGAATCTAACCGGTAGAATAAAACTGGCGGCGGATTCTAAAAAAATATTTGTCAACAAGGAAGCAGTAAGGAAAGGGGTTGAAGGAATTGCATTTGTATTGTAACTGTCTGGGTGTCTCTCACATGAGTGTACTATTCTTCAACGTCCTAACGCTTCATTGTGAATGGTGCAGCCTTAACATGGCCGATTTTCGATGTGTGCGTCGGCTAAGCCGGTTTTAGAACCTCAAATTGCCCGGTCAAAGTCGTTTTCCGATCCGGCAATGTCCCGCATGCTATCTTTGAGTTCATCTTAAGAGGAGATGTCAGAAACCGTTTTTATTTTCAACTGTGTCTTCACCTCATCTCAAGAGCTCTGTAGGGTAGTGAGACATTTGTTCGGATAAGTCGTAGTTTGACTTTCACCTTTTTTAGCTCCGAAGAAGGCGAAATCGCCGAAACATTAGCCGATGGAATCATTTTCGAGCTCATGTGCTGTTAAATCGAACACACTCGTTTTATTCACCGAGACTGAGTAATTTCTGATGTCAAGATTAAGAAAAATTGGACCGACCAAAAGCCAGAGTTTCTCGTAGAAAACAAATCTTTGATAAGCCAACATTTTAACTCAATATAGCCATAAATGGTTGTTCAAGCGATGTTGTACGTGAAGTGCCAACAATGACTGGAAGGAATCACTAATTCATGAAGGCTAGGGCCTCTGAGATTTACTGTAGGACTGTATGACAAAAATAGGACTGTATGACAAAAATTATGTTTTTCCTTCAGGCTCTCACAATACAAGCCATGGTTCCGATCATTTGCTTCCTACCAACGATTTCGCTATCCGTTCTAGCAATGGCTACTGGATCGGAGGCTTCCATCAGTGAATATCTTCGTATTTGTATAGCAACTTTGCCATGTGTCATCGATCCCCTCATCGCTTTCTATTTTGTTCCACCCTACAGGGAATGGGTTTTGGAGAAGCTTTGTAGACGGTCACCCTCTATAAAATTGGAACCGAAAAGCACGACGGGTAGCACTCCGAACCGTACAATACCACTTCCGCCCATCACTACATACTAGTGGCCACACCCAAAATGTGAACTAAAAAAAGAGTTAAATTGGTCATTTAGCGACTAATTAAATTCACAAGTTTATTTTTTATAAATACTATTAGGTACATGGTAGCTACAGGGAATACTTCACCTCGAAATGGTTCAATTTTGAGAAAGCTACTCACGTGAGAATATTTATATTTATGTCTCCAGTCAGTAATAAGTAAATAATTCAATGAAAATGCTAAGTAGTGGAGGGGCTTGCTTGTTCCACCGTATAGTGGCATGTCAGGGTGCTGTAGTCGTGGCTTAATCCTTATGAGGGTTGAGAAAGGAAAAGTAAGAAAAGAAAGGAGAAAAGCGGATGAAATCATGTTTCTTAATAAAAAAAGGCCTTTTATGTGGGCATGAATTTTCCTTTCTTACTCTCCTCGTAATTTCTATCGCTCCCCCCTGCTCTCCTTTTCTACGAAAAAAATTAGGACTCCTGACTGTCTAATTGATGGAAATCCTGGAAAAGGAAATCATCGACGCAGATGGGAGAAGGTCGTAGATCATAGAGTCGATAGTATTTCAATATAAAATACTTCTAATATTTGCATGGAGCCTAGTGGCGATTATTTGGAGTCCGTCCAGGGTCCCTGATTGTTTAGGTATTAAGTTTAAGTTGTATACAAGGTAAACAAAAATCCGTTGGCTTTACGACTTCACCTCTATACACCACTCTATTGAAGTATTTTGTGACCGACCACCTCTGGGCAGCCTGTCCGCGATGTTTAATTCATTGATTATTGCTGTATGTTTGTGTTTATTTGCTGGAATTGATGTATTTGTTAATGTAATGCATACTAATTATTTGGATTTATCCAACTAGAATTTTAGTAAACGCTAGATATTCGAAAGAAACATTTTACGTCTTGCTCTAACAAGGGGCCCCGAAATTTCAATATTGAAAGACCGAGTAGCCTTCTCTTGTATTGCTAATTACTTTTTTCATGGAAAAATTACCGAAGTTGCTAAATTAAGTTTTCGCTCCCTCGTGATGTCTTGTTTTTGTTAAACCTCGTTGACTGTCCGGACAGAGGCTTTCCAGCATAGCCAAAACATGGGTGGTTTGGTTTTTTCAAATCCACTGCATAAACCCTATAAACCAAACTATTAACAGCTTTTCCTTTTTTCTAGAGTCGTCCAAATAGAGCGTTTGGATTACAAATGTAATATGTGGTATTTTTTCTCGGTTATCTTATAATATTCTCTACTTTTGAGGGCCTTATTTTACACGAAATCAGCGAATTTCCTCGCTTCCTTCATTACCGATGCACTACTCCCAGCCAACACTTCCGCTTTTCGACCTGAGAAAAGTACCTTGAATTTATCGTGAATGTGACTTTAGAGCGGCTTGATACCAGCTATTAAGAGGTTATCAGAAATGGACTCTATACTGAAAATCGTAGGTGGATGGCACCGCAGATTCAGTTGGTAATATGTGAAATCATCGTTCATTAGTCGTAAGCCAACAAATCTCATCTGGAGTAGACGCTCCGCTTCCTTCAGAATACGTTTTCAATTTGTTTGTTACTTTTTCAAAATACCTTCCTCAATTGTTAACTTCCTCATGTTGCTCCAATTCCGTAAGCTACTCTGGCATGTTGTTGATCGCTAATATCCGCTGTAGCACAGACAAGCTCATAGAAGGTTAACCGAGCATAACATTGAACCTATGAGAAGGGCGAAGACATAGTTCACAACAAAAACGGTTTTTGACATCTTCTCTTAGAATGAACTCTAAAATAGCATGTGGGACATTGCCGGATCGGGCGTTATAAGATTCCAAAATCGGCTTGGCCGACGTACACACCGAAAAGTGGCCGTGCTATAAACCCTGTTAAGGCTCCACCATTCACAATGAAGCGTTAGGACGTTGAAGAATAGTACACCCATGTGAGAGACACCCAGACAGTCACGCACAACCAGCTTTCCTTACTGCTTCCTTGTTGACCTATTTTTTTTTTTGGAATCGCCGCCAGTTTTATTCTATAGGTTAGATACATCTAAATTATCGTGCGCTTTGCCTTTGAGCCACAGATAGTTAATAGGTGACCAAAGTACCGTACATTCTAGGCCGTCTCTGATGAACCTTTGATCGAATGATTGTTATAATTAGAATTTACGAAACCAACTTGAATAAATAGCCACTGTAGCATTGTTCGAAAGTTGCTCGGATACCTTATCATCTTCACTACGAGATAGGCGCGAGCTTGAACTTCCACAAAAAAATTAGTGGAAAGCTTGAAGATAACTACTTTTTGGAAAAAGGTTTCGGTGAGTTAATTTTAAACTTGGATGGAATGTGGACTGATTGATTGGATTTGATTAATTATATGGCATTAACAAGCGATGCATCGGAGGTGATCATCTCTAGCAAGGTCGAGTCAAGCACAAGCCAGTTTCTAAGCCACCTTATTACCTTATGAGCCCTTCTTCTCTAGGCTTAGGATCATATCCGATAAAGGCGGTCCCCGTTATAAAGAGGCTTACCTTCAAGAACATCCTAGAACTATGCACTGTCTTCTCGCTATACTGGTGGAGCGTGTTGCCCAAAGTTTTCATGATTAATCGTCTCAGAAACAGAATAGGGATCGGTGAAGCTGCCGCTATTCCACAAGCAATGACTGCACAAATAGTCTGGACGGGTTTTTCGTTTCGAATCTTCCAATGTCACCATACCTAATCAACGATAATTCATGGACAGTTCAAGTGAGAGAGAGAATCTTAGAGCAATCTTACTTCTTCAAGTTGTAATTACGATGTTCATTGATTGTTTCCTTCATGACAAGGTCAAACCGTAATGATCCAACGTGCGGCAGGACCTGTAAGGAGCGAACATGCCTTCAGCTCTTCATTCTCTCGTAATTTTTTGCATAGCAAGGATATGGTGTAGCATTGTCAAGTGACACACACACATTATTCAGGAATCGAATCCCGGATCGATATCCGCCCAGACCAACCAAGCTTTCCATCCATCTAATATGTAGTAAAACCAGTTAATTGGTACTACCCTTGTCCAGCGGGATAAGATGATTGTACAGGGTGGGCCAAAATTATGATTACACAGACATCACATCCCCGCAAACGATTAGAAAGCTAAAAAAGCAAACCAACTTGATTAAAGTGTCTATCACTAATCTCTCATCAAAATAGTACATTGAGACCGGGATCTGATGCTTTCTGCTTTCACCCATCCCCAGAGACGATGATGGACAACATTAGCGGTGGCACGCAGCTAAGGTTATCGAGTTGATCCCAGGTTTTTGCAAGGTATTTTCGAAATTATTTCATTTCATGTTTGGGCTAACGGATGCTCTCATCTCAAAGGCTGACCA